CTTAAAATTCGGTGGGAAAAAAAAGATAGATTGCATTTTTATGGTCCCCTTCCATTATCAGCGTGATAGCACTTCACGATGTATACGCGATGATCGTAGGCTCCTGTCAACACATGCGCGTGGGACAAAGTAGAATAGAACGTTGATTATAAGGCCGAGTACGCAGGCTCGGGCCACTATAAACACTTTATCTTGAACGCGTTTTTATCGTGGAAAATCAGGAAGGTTTCCACTCCGTTCGTCATATTTAATAATTAAATTTTAAAAAAAACTAAGTTACGGTTAGCCGTCACATAACTAAAATAAAATTATTTTTTGAGCCAGAAATACTGCGTAAAAATCATTTTTCAAAAAAATTTGCATAATAATTATAATAAACAATAAAAAAAAATTAAGAAACAAAAACAAGCGAAGTTTGTGAAATTCAAAAAGTCCCAAAACCACAGGTTTTTATTTTTGGTGCCACTTTGGGACTAAAAATACAAATTTTTTCGGTAAAATTTGATATCACGTTTGAACGTGTAATTTCCTCCATAATTCGAATCTGCCATAAGCAACAGTAGTTTCCATTTGAAATTTTCAAGTTGAGCCAGATTTGGGCCAGTTTTTGGAATTGGACCCAAAAAACTGAGTTTCCCATTTGAAAGAACGAAAAACATTACAAAAGAAACACTGTAAATCTTTTCAAGTGCAAAAAACACGACTTTTACACATATTTAAGGTTATGTAAGATCATAAGATAATTTTTTTCGGTCAAACTAATTAATATATCTTAAAGTACGAGTCTTTCCCTTCAAAATGAATTTTGAATCGTTCAGATATCTTTTTCTTTCACCGAGATATGATAATTTGAATTTAGCGTCTCGCCAACTTATGCACTTCAAGCGTATGTAGATAATTATAATTGGCAACCCTGTTTTTACCACCTAAATTACCGTATGGGCCGGTAAAAAAAAATACGTGTCTAATATTTTTTGATACTCTAATCGTATGCAAAGTTTAAAGAAAATCGGTGACGGACACCTCCCTGCCTTCCCTTGTGAGTGACATAACCGTGCTTTCATTACTATCTGTATTCATGTTTATAATTATCCTCACATTCAACGATTTTAATGACAATTTTTGCCGACAAACTATTCAAATTATTTGAACAAAGAATGATAGATTTAGAAACAGAAATTTTTACCGAGTTACACTATGGATGCTATACATTAGGTATACAAATTATTCGTGTGCTATCTGCATAGTTTAGCAACGAATATAGACGCTAAGCCTCTAAACATCAGATTCGGGCTCGAGTCATTGGCTATTAGTCTATCTAGCATATATATATATATATATATATATATACAGTAATGTTTGATTCTTCCAGTAAGAGGAAAAAGTAACAAAGGACGAAAGGCAGTCAAAGGAGGCTTTTCTTTTGTCTTTCGCCATTACTCATTTCTGCTTTCGTTCAACAATAACAATTTGAAAATTCTTTTTCTTTTGTTAGCAATATCAGTGTCATAGTTTTTAATAATTCTGCATTGATAGGAATATATTTTAAATATGAAGTCTGGTTATTATGCCAAAATTAAATTTATAGACGATCATGTTCGTGACGTAAAACCGGCAAACGAAATTTTAGAATTTCAATCGAACCCAGATTCAATACAATTGTTTGATAAAGATGCAGTTTACACTACTTTATGGAAAAATGAAAAAATGTTACAACCTATTGAAGTTGGCATCCAAATTGCTGATATAAAAAGTAAGTTTTTATTATTTTTTAAATATAATTTAAGATAATATCATTCATATTTACATTATGTCAGTTTATAGTTTTAATTTTATATACTATATTTAATTTTTAGTGTTAACAAATGAAGATGAATTGAAACAGTTTAAGCAAAAAAGAGGAGTTTTTAGTATACTTAACCAATCAGTTTTAAATAGATATTACGACGACAGTGATGATAACAAACATGAAAATGACACTGATTCTGAAAATGATATTTTTAAGGAAAATAATTCATCAAAAATAAAGAACAAAAAAGAATTCAAAGGAAAAGAGAGAAGTAAAAAAAAGAGATAAGTTCAATAATTTTGTATTCCACCGAAAAGAGTGGGTGATTGAATTTTAGAATTAGAAAAATATAAATGACTGGTTGTATATTCCTAATAATATATACAATAAGATAATCAATTTATTTTCTAGATTCATGATCCTGAAATACAAAAACAGCTTCTACAAGCTAAACTAGCAAACTTTGTTCATACAAAAACTTTATCGTTAGATTATAAAGAAAATAGATATTGTGGAAATATAGAAGAGGTTTCAGTTCAAGTGGGACATGAAAAGCAATCAAATGTAAGTCTATTACAGAAAAAAATTGTAAAATTAGAAGAAGAATGTTTAGCTTTAAAAATGAACCAGACAAGATTACAAAATAATATAGTTATTTGGCGCTCTCTTAGTGGATAGGAGCGAACAAAACACACGAAAGGATGGGCAGTATAAACATTTATTAGAAAGTACAAAAGAGTTAAGGTACAACTGGGCGCGACAGAGAGAACTCTGAGAGACTTGCCAGTGCCTCGGCCAAGTTGCGCGCGAGCGGGGCTGGAAACACGGCGGATGCGTAGATGCGCGGCTCGAGCGCCTGCTTCCGGCGCCGTGGTAGGTGCTGCCGACTGGTGGTTGAAGGGAGGGACGGTTTAGTCCCCACAGGTAGTCCCCCTTTAGAGACTGACGTAGGGCACGGAGGGAACAATACCCTTTTGCGCAGGATGTTTGGCACGGCTCTAGGAGGCAGACGATCGGGCCATGGCGTAGCTGCACCGTACATAAGGGCAGCCTTCAAGGTGCGGTGGAGCCGCTCGACTACCGGGCCGTTGCTCTGCGGGTGATATGGAGTCGTACGGATCTTCTTCGTGCCGATGAGCTGTGCCAAGGCGTCGAAGAGGGCAGACTCAAACTGCTTCCCCTGATCGGAAGTGATGGTCAGCGGACATCCGAAAAGCGCAACCCATTCTTTTACGAATGCGGCTGCGACTGTTTCGGCGGTGGTGTCCGCGAGCGGTACTGCGACTGGCCTTCTGGTAAAACGGTCGATGATCGTCAGGCAGTAGCGCAGTTCTCCGACATGCGGCAGAGTGATGAGGTCAACATGAACGTGCTCAAATCGGTTGTCCGGGACATCGAACGATCTGAGCGCTGCACGGTTGTGTCGACCAACTTTGGCGAGCTGACAAGCGATGCAAGCGCGAGCCCAGCGAGTGACGGCCTTCCGAGCGTGGGGCCAGATGAATTTGGGCGTCAGAAGTTGTGCGGTCGCCCTGGGGCTCGGGTGAGCCGGCGAGTGCAGGACGTTGAAGGCCTTCCGGCGCAAGGCGCGCGGAAGGTAGGGCCTAACCGTGCCTTGATGGACGTTACAGGCGATAGTGAAACCGTTGCTGTCCAGCTGCTGCAGACCGAGGAGGCCTTTGTCGTGGAGATGCCGGAGTTAGTCGTCCGTCTCCTGTGTTGCTGCGATGTCACGCGCCAAGAGTCCAGAGGGCATGCCGATGGTGCATGCTCAGGAGAAAGTGTCAGCGACAACGTTGTCCGAGCCCTTGACGTGCTAGAAGACCGTATTGTGCTGGAGCAAGAAGTCCAAGTGCCTCTGCTGGCGAGGGGTAGCCTTGGACGCAGGCTGATTCTCAGCGAAGATAAGAGGCTTGTGGTCTGTGTGCAGGTTGAAGGTGCGACCCTCCAAGTATCGCTGAAAAAATTTGATGGTTGCATACGCTGCGAGTAGCTCCCTGTCATAGGTGCTGTAACGCCTCTCCGTGTCCGTTAGTTTCTTGGAGAAGAAACCCACTGGGCGTTGTTCCCCATCGATGGTCTGCTCCAGGGCGGCGCCGATGGCCGTGTCTGAGGCATCCGTGTAGAGGACGAGCTGCGAATCCGGGGCCAGGAACGAGTTGGTCGTCGCCTTGCGGAGGGCTTCCTTGCATCCGAGGAAAGCGTTGTCGTGCTTTGCGGTTCACGGAGGCAGCTTGGCCTTCTTTCGCTTGAGCGCGCCGCGCAGAAGGTCGTTCAGCGGCACCTGAACGTGTGCGGCCTTGGGTGTGTAGCGGCGATAGTAGTCTACAATACCCAAAAAGCTGCGAAGCTCTTGGTAGTTCGTTGGCCTTGGGATCCTGTCGATGCCTTCTACCTTGCGAGGTGGTGGTCTGTAGCCGCGCTGCGAGACCAAGTAGCCCAGGAAGTCGACCTCGGATTGGCCGATCTGGCATTTCTTGAGGTTGACGGTGAGGCCAGCGTCACGCAGCGTCTCAAACACGATGTGCAGGTGTTGCAGGTGCTCCTCGTGGTTCATTGAGCGAATGATAGCGTCATCGAGATACCACCGGACAAACGGCATGTCCCGGAAGAGCGAGTTGAGGAAACGCTGCAGAGTTTGCAGCGCGTTCCGGAGGCCCAGAGGCATTATCAGGAACTCAATGAGGCCGAACGGGGTCATGACAGCTGTCTTGGCGATGTCCTCCTCCATCATCGGGATCTGGTAAAATGCTTTCTCTAGATCAATAACTAAGATCACGACGCCACCGTGGTAGTCGTGAAGAAAGTCCTCGACGATCGGCAGCAGGTAGCGGTCTGGCTCGGTGACAGCGTTGAGGCCTCTATAGTCGCCGGTGACGCGGTAGACGCCGGGGCTCTTCTGGACGAGGTTGAGCGAGTTGGCCCACTGGCTCAAAGACGTCCGGACGATGCCTCTGTCTGCCAGCTCCTTGATGGCACTTTTGGCGCCCTTGAGCCGTTCTCCGTGCAGCAGGCGTGGTCGATCGAAAACCGGCGGCCCCTTGGTGACGATGCGATGCTTAACAGTCGCACTCTTGATGTTGGCGCGACGAGAGTTCGGCTTCATGAGGTGAGCGAACTCGACCAGCAGCTCGTCGTACTGGCGCCGAGTGCCCAGGTCACCTCCAGGATCGTGGAGAATGGCCACCGAGTGCGCCACTGATGCGAACTGCTATCCCTGTGCGTGGAGACCAGTCATCGAGTCGACGAGGCGCATATTCTGCAGGTCAGGAAGGAGGTCGGCGTGGTCTAGAAAGTCGGCACCGATGATGGCGCTGGTGATGTCGCCAATGACGAAGGGCCACGCGTACTCCCTGCGCAGCCCCAGGTTAAACGCAAGCACGATGCGGCCATAGGTGGCGATGGGCGACATGTTCGCCGCGGTGAGGCTGAGCTCCTGCTTGACCAAGGGCTCGGTTGAGCGTACCGCCGAGCGAGGCAGCAGCGAGACGACTGAGCCAGAGTCGACGAGGAAGGTCAGGCCTGAATTCCTATCCTTCGTGTGCAGGCGATTTTCACTGGTTGAAGTGCTGCCGTGAAACGCCTGGATGGACGGCAGCGACGCTAGTTTTTTTCCTGCATTGCGACGAAGGTGCAGAGCTGGCGGCAGCGCTCCGCAGAAGCACCGAAGCGGTAGTGGTAATAGCAGTAGCCGTTGGGTGCTGGCGAACCCGAGCGATTGTTTGAGCTGCGGCTATGGCTACGGCCCCTGCCGTTCTGCCGGGGCTCGGTCCGCGATGTGGTGATCGCCTCGAGGACCAGCTTGGTTGCTGCCAGCATCTGCGCCATCCCAGCGCGCAGATCGGCGATCTCCCTGCTGAGAAATGGGCTGGTGGAGCTGGTTCGTCCCGGCGACTAGCCGCGCGAGCCCTGGCCGAGGGCCGAAACCGAAGCACTGGGCAGCTTGTAGAGCTCGTCCGCTGCTTCGGCCAGTTCCTCGAGCGAGTTATTCCGTATGACGCGCACCACCTGCTGTGACATGGCAGGCAGCGCGTCGAGCCAACGGACCTTCAGTCCGGCGTCGTCGATGCTGGTTCCTGCGAGACACCTCATCTCGTGGAGTATGCTCGACGGCTTACGGCCCTCCGATTGAATGCCGCTGTAGAGTGTGCGTAACCGCTGCTCGGGGGTTTGCCCCGTCCAGGGCAGTCACGACGAGGTTGTAGCGCATCTCATCAGAGTTGACGCCATGGCAGGCCATCATGGATTCAGCGTGTGCAAACCAACCCTCGAGCGAGTCCTTCCACACAGGAAGCAACTTGCACGAGCGAACAGGTCCAATCCCTTGGGCCGCGAACTGCTGCTGTAGTCGGGCGTGCTCCTGCTGGTGCGTCGCCAAGGTCGCGGCAAGCTTGGCAGCGGGTACTGCCGGCGGGATACGATCGGCCGGGTCGGAGTAGCCATTGGCGGCGGCGTTGTCCCCGCCTGTCATTGCGCCAACAGCTTCTTTGCCTGGCGCACGTTTCCGGACAATGGATGTCGCCGGGGCTGGTTCGAGCGGCAACGGGTAGCCAAACCTTTGGGTCCACGCGCGCATCTGCGGTCGCGAACCGCCCTGAGCCTGGGCGTCGTCCGAATGTCTTTGCGGTGGCGGTACCAAAGGCTGGCGCGAAGTGCCTACCCTTTGTCTCTGCACTGGCGCCGGGTTGGGCAGCGCGTTAGTTGCGAAATTCTGTAATGAGACCACTCTGACGGAATCCGCGAGTTTTTGTAGCGGCACTGACGGCACTGTACTTGTCACAGAGGGATTCCGAGGCGGCAACGACGAAGTAGCAGGTGTCCGTATGCGGCTCGGAATGTCCGACAATGACGGCGGCGTGCGTTTCGCGCCGGCCACGATGCCGAAAGAACATCCGTCCCAGATCACGTCGGGGTCACCACTTTGGCCCTCTCTTAGTGGATAGGAGCGAACAAAACACACGAAAGGATGGGCAGTATAAACATTTATCAGAAAGTACAAAAGGGTTAAGGTATAACTGTGCGCGACAGAGAGAGCTCTGAGAGACTTGCCAGTGCCTCGGCCAAGTTGTGCGCGAGCGGGGCCGGAAATACGGCGGATGCGCAGATGCGCGGCTCGAGCGCCTGCTTTCGGCGCCGCGGTAGATGCTGCCGACTGGTGGTTTAAGGGAGGGACGATTGAGTCCCCACAGATATATTGAATGAACGTTTGGAAACATAAAATCAGAAATGAAAGGTTGCAAATCCAGAATTTACACTACGATTTAAAACTAAAAGAACTGACTAAACAAAACGGAGTTCCTGAAACATCAAAAGCAACATCAAATGTTAGGATCTTGTTATAATAATGTTATGATTACAATATTATATTTCATTTATGAGTGATTTATCAAGTTTAATTTCAAATTGGATCAATTGAACTGATACAACTTATTTATTTGTTACCATGTTTAGTAATGCTGTATGTAAAACAAATAAGTGTGAAATTAAACTTAATATTTTCTTTTGTTAGTTTTCAACACTATTTCAAATTTATATGCTATTAATCTTTTTATGAATAATAATCCGTAACTCAGAAAAGTACGGAACAATATTGTAGAAAACTAATTTGATTTTATTATAATTTTATAATTCACATGGTAAACTGATTCACTCAATTAATTATAATTAACGTAAACTAATAAGGAATACAGTACTTGCACAATTAATAGAAAAAATTAGTTATTTTAATCTGGAACATTCACAAGCACAGTTTCTACAGGCATGTAACACTCTTCAAATATAAATTAAAAATCAGTCAAAACCCTTATATTCTTATTTTTTATCTTTTATATATTACTACCAGTAAAAAATATTTCATAAAAATATAATATAAAAGTATATGTTTGAAGAGTGTTACATGCCTATAGAAACTATGCTTGTTAATGTTCAAGGTTATAAAAAGAAATTTTTTCTATTAATTCTATAAGTATTGCATATTTTATTAGAATACATTAATTATAATAAATTTGTTGATACAGTTTAAGAACCTCTATATATATATATATATATATATATATATATATATATATATATATATAGTTCCTAATAAAATTTATAATGTTCGCCAAGGGTGTTTAGATCAGTGGTGGGTAAATGAAATGATTTTCATTTTTTCGACATGTATATCTCCCAAACTTGTAATAAATGTCGAAAACATGTTAGATTGTGAAAAACGTCGATAACTCCAGAATTCTATCGCGCATGCGCATCAATGCTGGACTAACCTTTTCAAAATAATGTTGTGAGTGTTATGACAGTTGACACATGATGATGTGACGCCGACGGAGATTACGTCAAAAACCTCATAATTTATTTCAAAAACTTCGTGAGATAATTTACAAGTAAATAACTTGTCAAAAACTAAGTTTTTTACCTATGGTAATTTACCTACCTACCACTGGTTCAGACGATCGCTCGGTTGTAATTTTTTTAGAGATAAGGTATATCAAAACATGTGAAAAGGATGATAGAAGGTGGATGGCCTTGGGGATGTGGTTCGGCGCGGACAAGAAGAGCCGACACAATAAGAATTTTGATAATAAATTAATCGGTTTATTCAATCTACTACACACGTGACGTAAGCATAAAAAACTCTGCAGTTACGAGGGAAAAAGCCCTCGTCAAGCGGATATTTAAACTAAAAATTGCCGGAGAGAGACAGAATTATTGTTCAATTACTTGCCCTTATAATCGTGGGCCGTAAGATTGTGTATACCCGTCACACACTGACAACTACAGGCTGAAAACACACACACACATGCGTAGTAACTAGAGATAGGCACAACACAGTAAGCACACGCGTCACGAACTATGGCGAACTTTACAAATCTAAAATACCACGGACAATTACAGCATCACAAGCAAGACGACACTCCTTGGACGTTCGGCGCGCGACTCACTCACCTCGCACCCTGCGTTCGGACGTGCATTCTGCAATCCTCCACCCCTCCATTTATTCCTAAGGGAGAGGGAGGGGATCGCGCGACACGTCCGAACCCGATCGGGCCCAGCAGCCCACCAGATGTTGGACACGCGGGACTGGGGAAAACCCACACTTAAAATAAGCTCTAACACGTGCGACTGTTCGCTGCAGGCACGCTGCGGCTGGTCATAAACAACATGCTTCTTGGTTATTTAAGAATTTGAAAAAAAAATTTATTTGTACGTATGGGGAAATACACGGAACCTTTATCTTTTTTTACGTGCGCCTTTTTAAGCCAGAAAAAAATTTGCTAAGTTTTAGTTTAAAAGACCTGTTAATATTTTTTAATACATAAATGTGTATAGAAAATTTTTTTAAGGACCAAACTGCTGTAATTTGTAATGGATCGACTCCTGATAAGTCATCATATTCAGATTCTATAACTGGTGTTTTACCTTTATCTGAAATCTCGCCAAATATTGATAATGCCAAGGATCTAGGAGGTCTGAATGGTACACCGAAAACCAATATTGATTGGATGGTATCCCAGCATGTGTTCGAGGATGTTGAACTGCAGAAAACCCCAGCCTCACAGACAAAAAGTTTGAAACGTATGTTATTCATTAGAGTTATTCAGAAGAATAGTAGTTACAGGAAACTAGTCATTATTTAATTTTTTCTAATTTCTTTATTTTTACTCTAAGTGTATTTACAATCTGTCTCACATATTGAGACAATATATCAATAAGCTAATGTTGTTACTATTAGATATTTATAACATAAATAGCAGAATACTCCACAAAAGTATTCTGTGTTTGTTTTACAATATTATTGCACTAAATAATTTATTCTATTTGCGCGTTCATGAATTTATGTTTTTTAAGTCTAGTTATGGCTATTGATGCCTTCAGAAAATTGTTGACTAGTTTATTCGGATGGTTTTGTAGTCTTGTATTATATTTTTCATAGAAGTTTTCGATTTCTTTTTTGACTGAAGGCAGCTGTAAATAGTTTCTGATAATTTCATTTGGTACAAACCATGGAGCCTATATTATATTACGCAGGACTTTCGATTCAAATCTTGCTATGGTTTCGATATTTGAGTTTAAAGCAGTACCCCACAGTTGAATGCCATAAGTCCAGACTGGTTTAAGTACAGCTTTATATAACAACAACTTGTTTTCAATTGTTAGTTCCGATTTTCCTCCGATGAGCCAGTACATTTTTCTCCATTTTAGACCCAACTGTTTACGCTTAGTAAATATATGTTCTTTCCATGTAAGTCTTCGGTCTAGATGAATACCTAGATATTTTACTTGATTGCTTTGCGGTATACATTCATCGTTAGTTGAACAGGAGGACAGATATCTTTCCGTAGCGTGAATGTCATATGAATTGATTTGCTTTCATTTACTTTTATTCTCCACGGGTTAAACCAATTCTGAAGGTGATTATCTATGTCATTTTGTAGTGTTTTCGATGCTGTTGTTGCCTCTGAGTGTACAGTTAAGATTGCTGTATCATCTGCATATGTTGCTGTCAATATATTTGTAGATTTTGGTAGATCTAAGGTGTACAAAAGATATAGTGTTGGGCCTAGAACACTGCCCTGTGGTACTCCTGCTTTTATTAACTGGCGTTTTGATTTATTCTTATTTATCTTTACTTGAAATATTCTGTTTTGTAAGTATGACTGTAGTATTTCGTAGTAGCAAACAGGAAAAAAAGTGTGAGCTTATGTAGTAGTCCTTCATGCTAAACCCTGTCAAAAGCCTGGGCGACATCCAGGAATATACCAGCGCAGTATTGTTTATCTTCGATGGAATTCCTCGTAAAAAATACTATACGGTTCACCTGCTCGATCGTG